AGGAGGAGGAGGAGGAGGAGGAGGAGAAGGAGGAGGAGGAGGAGGAGGAGGAGGAGGGCGAGGAGTCTGTCTGTCGGTCTGTGCCGCGGCCCGAGCTGGCAGCGGCGCCGAAGGGCGCCGCGCAGCGCTGCGCAGCGCTGCGCAGCGCTGCCGCCGCGGCGGCGGCGCGGCCGCCGGGCGGCGAGGTGCTGGCGGCGGCGAGGCGCGCCGCCTCCTTGGGGGGGTGGCGGCGGGTTGGCGCTGGCGCGCCTCGATTCTGGTCGCCTACTCCGCGGAGTGCCCTTGCAATAGGAGGTCCAGCCCTCGTCTCTGTCTCCTCCTCCTCCTCCTCCTCCTGCTCCTCCTCCTCCTCCTCCTCGTCTCTATCTCTGCTCCTAGCTTCCTCCTAGCTTCCTGGTGTTGTCCGCCGCCGTTTCCTTTCGGGCGCGCGCGGCTGAAGTGCTATGGGCTTTGGGGTGCACCGCGGGTGCTTCACAGTTGCGTCAAAGGATCATGACATATAAATATATGCCAAAACTTATGTCTCGACCGATGAGTGAAAACATGACGATCACTTGGAATTCAGTTCGCAGTCCAAGCGATTGGCTACCAGGTGAAAGGCTGGAGGCTGAAAGTAACACCCTCTTCCCCTTTGTCCTCCTCCCCGTTCCCTGCCTCTTCCCTCATTCTGCCACGACGGGCAGTTCGAGGATCGAGGCTCGAGTTTTGAGATGCGAGGATCGAGGGTCGAGGATCGAGGACCGCGGTTCGAGGCGAAAGGTTCGAGGTTCGATGATGAAGCTCCTCACACCTGCTCTTCTGCCTCCCTTCGATTCTGTTGTTTCTGTTTCTTGCCCTTTATCCTGGGCCTCGGAAGGCCCTCTGGGAGGCCCTCTGGAGGCGTCGTGAAAAAGTGAACAGGCGGGACCCCCTCTGCCAGGTCCTGCCAAGGAGCCCGCTGCTGCACGTGCGGGTCCTTGATCCTGCTCCTGGTCTCTTTCGCTGTTCTTGTCCGACTCGCAGTCCCGTCTTCCCTTCCTTCGGCCAAGCAGGTACCAAGTGCATAACACCGGCCAAATTGTGTTACATACAGTCGGGGCGCTGAAGAAGGAACCCTGTTCGTTGGGGAGGGGCTCGGTGTTCCTTGATTGTTTTACATTTTGCCTGGGATTTTCCTTAGTTTTCAATGGTAAATCGGGTTCCTTATTCAGGGTTCCTTAGGTCAACGCCCCGACTGTACGTCGTACCTGCAACATCTTGTCTGCCACGTGCTACCTGCTGCCGTCTAGCAGCCACGGGCGCCCTACCATTCCCTCCTGGCGACATGTCTTCGTGCCTCCTGCATCTACATACAATCTACCCCCTGCCATCTACCATCTACTGCGGACCACATGCCACATCTCATGCTACCCATGACCTGATGCGTGCTCTCTGATGCTGGCTACCCTCTAGCCTCGATCTGCCACTTGCAACCTGATGCTGGCTACCTGACCACCCAGTGCCACCCACAGAGTGATGTCACTTACACGCTGTGCGTTATACCTGCTATCCAGACAGGGCTACCCAGTGCTGAGTACTACTGGCCCGCGGCTACGATTGCTATTCGACTTGTATGTGCGCAGTGAGATAACTGTCATACGTTAGCCAGCGTGGACGCCACACAGTGGGCTTCTAGCAATCAGTGTTGTGCTTTCTAGGTGGAGCAATCTATGCGGCGCAAGCAATGCTGTGCAATTTAGGTTGTGCAGTTTACGATGTGTATTCTATGTCGTGCAGTTTATGTTGTGCAATCTATGTGGCGCAAGGTATGTGATGCAATCGACGATGGGCAATCTATTTGGTGCAACCAAGGGTTGCAATCTGTTGGGTGCAATTAGTCTGTGCTCGCAGTGAGTTTTCAACTCCACTGGTCGCGCAATCATCCCACCTACTCACCCGCAGCTTGGTTTGCAAAACCCATGCGGGGGCGTTTGCGATGACTGCTTGCCGCTGCTGGCGCATCGCTGCGGCCGCGCTAGCGCGCGCAGGCTCGCGCGCAGAGCGGCCAGCTAGTCTGGCGTGACGGCCGCGGTGGCGGTTGCGTTGATTTTTTGTCTTTTTCAGCACGTCTCGCAGGCCGTTTTTGCGCGCGGGTATATCAGTGCGAGTCGGTGACTCGGGTTGGCGCGGTGTCTTGGCGACGTCGACAACGGCAAAAACGCTGATGATAGCAACGATGCTAATGACGATGATGACAAGGACGACGGCAAAGGCAATGATGGCGCCGATGCTGATCACGCCGATGTCGATGATGGTGCCCACGCGTCGGTCATGAAGGTTTCGGGAAAATTTCGGCATGCGCGCGCGGACGACGCGCGCGAATGGCAACCCCAGCACGCGCGCAAGGGCGTTCGAATGATTTCGACATGCGCGCGCGAGAGGCTCTATCTGTTGAATTGGATGAGCATATGGACAAACCTGTGCGTGTGTGTACACACACATATATATCGTCATATGTGTATATATATATATACATTTATATCGGTAGATGTATGAATTCGATAGAATTCGCGCGCGTGGTTTTGTGAGATTTCTATTTGTAAAGCCGTATGGCATTCATACGTTCCCGGGGCATTCGATGTTGAAACCCTTGCGGTATTATAGGTTTCCGGAGGTTTCCAGCATGCGCGCGCGATGACGCGCGCGTGTGTACTTCGCCCCATTGGTTGTTTTGACATTTGTTAGTGTTTGAAAACCGTGTGCGCGCACAGCGCTATTTGGCAGGGAGGGGGCGGGGTCAATAAGTGGACTGCCTGGGATTGTACGGGTCCATAATCAGGATGGACGAGTGTATAGAGTCATATACGAAAAGCAACGCGACAAACAATTAACTGATAACCCCGGTGTGTGTGTGTGTGCGGGGTGGTGATGGTAGATCCGAACTCCTTTATTTCAGAACGGAAGTTCCTGTGGTGCAATCTATGTTGGTTGTGGTGAAATATTTGTGGAGCAGTCTTTGTTGTGCAAAGTTCACGTGGTGCAATGTATGTGGTGTCATTAGCGCGATTCAATTTAAAGTTGTGCAGCTTGTGTTCTGCCATATGCGATGTGCAATCTACGTTGTGCAATGTATGTGGTGCAATTGTTGTTGGGGATTCTACGTGGTGCAATCCACCTTACCGAACTTGAAGTTGTCGACCCCACTGCTCGTGCAATCATCCCACCGACCCACCCGCAATTTGGTTTGCAAAATCAATGCGGAAGCGATTGCGATGAGTGCTTGGTGTTGGCTGGTGCATGTTTGCGGCCGCATTGGCCCGCGCATGCTCGCGCGCGCGCAGTGGCCAGCTGGGCACTTCAGGCGAGTCGGCGACTTGGACGGGCGCGGCATCAGGGCAATGTAGACACGATGGTGATAGTAGCGATGCTGTCGACGATGCTGACAGCGACGACGGCGCAGCCAATGACGGCGCCGATGCTGATAACGCCGACGGCGATGACGGCGTCTTCGCGTCGGTGATGAAGGTTTTGGACGGAGTTCGACATGCGCGCGCTGCAGACGCGCGAAAGCGGCCCGCATGGTGTTATTTGACGCGGGTCTTGCCACCCCACCACACGCGCAAGGGCGTTCAAACGATTTCAACATGCGCGCGCGAAGCCTGTTTGGTAGCATGCTATGAACAGGTTGAAACACAACCGATGGCATTTCTTAAGAATTCGCAATGTTTCGCGCGCTCTTTTGGTTCGTTTGAATTTATGTGTTGCGAAACTTGTTTGTCATATTTGTCTGGATCAGTCGATTTTGACTTCTCTAAGGCACCGCAGGTTTTTGAAGGATTTCGGCATGCGCGCGCGACGACGCGCGCGTGTGCACTTCGTCCTTTTTTAACCAAAGGGTTCCTGATAACTTCTGATTTTTGTCAAACGAGTGCGCGCGCATAGTATTTCTGTTGCACAGGATGGCGGGGGGGGGCTGGTACCGATTGGGCTGGGATGGTGCGAACTCATACTTAGAATGGGCGATGTGGCAGAATCATATGCAAATTGCTATGCGAAGAAGGGGGCCGATAATCCCGGGGGGGAGGGGGGGGGGAGTATTCTCTTTTTAGAAGAAGGGAACCGATGTTGTGCAATCGATATTGTGCAATCTATTTCGTGCAGTCCACGTGGTGCAGTCTAACGGCGGCGACGAGCGGCGACGGCGGCGACGGGGCGGCGACGGCGGCCACCTAGCCGCCAGACCAGGCGTCAGGCCCAGACGGCGGTCGGCGACGAGGTGCTGCCGGGGGGGCGACGGCGGCCACCTAGCCGCCAGACCGGCCGTTACGCACAGCGCCTTTGAACAGAAGCGCCAGCCTCTAAGTGCACGCCTTGCTTCGGGGGTTTCCCCGAGCAGCGCTTGCATTCAGGGCTTCTTCTCTCTTCGGATCAGTAACTGGATGGGTGCGCCGAGGTTTCGCTCGGTGCCCGGTTGGTCTCTGGTCGCGTGTGCCTCGTGAGCGCCCCATGTTTTTTTTGGGTGGGTCCGTTGCGGCTTCGCCTGGTGCCCGGTTGGTGGCCGCTCGCGGGCCCGTCGTGGTTGCTTCGTGCGCTGGGTGGGTCCGCCGGGGTTGCGCCAGGTGCCCGCCCGTGAGCTGCGCGCCTTGTGGGCGCCCCGTGGGCCGCCACATAGCCTGCACCACAGCTTGCGTTACGCAGCCTGCACCATATTCTGCACACCGAATGGATTAAATCGCATAGGTTGCACCACAGAGGATAGACCACATAGCTTGCACCGAGTTGCTGACACCACGTAGCTTGCATCACATTGTTAACCGCCCACTTTGGTTCACACTCTTTCCATCTCTGTTACTTCAACTATCGAGTGCTTGTGATTATGCTATTGCTTCAGTTGTGACCCAGAATTTACTTCCACTAGCGATGCTGCTATTGCCTTCCAACGCTTCCGTAGCGCAGACGCTGCTGCAGCTGCTGCCGCCCAGCTGCAACGCCCGGACAGTTTGGCTCCCAGGCCCCGTCGGCATTTGCTATACGGATTTCAGATGTCTGTGCTCGTGATCGGAGCCGGGGGAGCCGTTGGCAAGCGTCTGGTGAGGGCTCTGGCGTCCAGGGGCGAACGCGTCGTGGCGGTGGACAGGGCTCCGGCCCTGCCAGATGTGCTGAAGGGCCTGGTGACGCACGCGGAGACGAGTGCGGACGTGCGGGATTTCTACACGATGCAGCGCATTTTCAAGCGCCATCGCCTGGTGCACACCGTGTGGAACCTGGCCGCGCCGCTGTCCGTGGAGACTGCCACCAACCCCAGGGTCGCCGAGCAGGTCACCGTCAACGGGATGCGCAACGTCCTGTGGGCCATGTACGAGAACAGGGTTCGGCGGATCATGTTCACGGACTCCATCGGCTCCTTCGGCGCCGCGGCCCCCCGCGAGCAGTGCACCGCGCGCTGGCTCACCGAGAACGCCGCCCAGGACCCGGGCTCGGACTACGGTCGCCAGAAGCGCGGGGTGCGGCGGCTGCTGCACGAGTTCTGGCGCAACGGCGGGGACCCGCGGTGGGCGGTGCTCCCCGGGGTGCTCCACAGCGAGGCCACGTGGGGCATGGGCACCACGGAGTACGCCCTCGGGGCGCTGCTCGCGGCCGTGAAGGGGGAGCCCTTTGTCTGCCCGGTCGAGCCGGACGAGCGGCTGCCGATGATATACGTGGACGACCTGATGCGGGGGCTGCTGGCGCTGCAGGACGCGGAGGAGTCGCGCCTCCGGGAGCCCGAGCGGGGGTACGCGATCCCGGGCTTCTCGTTCACCGCGAGGGAGCTGTTCCAGGAGATCCGCCTGCACCAGCCGGGTTTCCGGTTCACGGTCGAGCTGGACGAGAACATGGCCGCCTTCGCGCGCCTGTGGCCCAATACTCCGAGGCCGGAATCGGCACAGATTCACTGCTGGCGGAATTGGTGACACAGGGCCCCCAGAGAAGATGGATATGAAATGTTCTGGGCCTCCGGGGGCCCATACACATCCACATCCATTGCCTCCAGGGGTGTGCTGGGACATCGGTTACCAAGGCGGTTGATCTGTATAAGTTCCAGTCTCGGGCAATACTCTCTCCGAGAGGGAGCCCAAGACCGACCTCGGTTACGAGGCCCGCGTGGGACTGAGAGAGATGGTCTTCAAGGTGCTCCTCGCGCACAGGGAGCGCCTGGCTGCTGCATGAGCCGATCGCAGCGGGGGCTGCGTCTGCGAGGGAGGGAGCAGTCCTCTGCTCTCCCCTCTGGATGTGCAGTGGGTGCCCCGGAGAGATTCTTAACCCCGACGGGCCTGTGGATCCTCTGAGAACCGTGCGAGGCTTAAGGTCGACGAACGATGTGTCGATCTTTTTCTTACGGCAAGACTTGTTACCGCATGTACATACGCATGTCGCTTCAATGATCCCGTACCTAGCCGCCGCCGCCTCCTCCTCAACATTAACGCATGCCGCATGCTGGCATCGATCGCAGTTTCGCTGCTTGTTTCGTGCAGCCTGTCTCCTGTCAACTAGGGTCGATTACCAGATTCATTGCATGCCCTTCGTTGCCGCAATTTTGCTCAGCAAGCTCGCCTTTCGAGTCAAGTCAGCGCAGGCAGATCTTGCGAACAGATGGGAGCGTTTGGCCTACAGCATCTTGAAGAGTTCCTGACATGCCCTCGCTGACGCACCTTTTGAATTTCGGCGTAGTGCCAAGGAGATGCGAGGCGCAGTTTGAGAGCCGCCGCGAGGCGCCCTGGCCGCAGCTGCGGGACGCGCCCAGAAGTGGCGCGGTCGACGGAGCGTTGGATCTGGCAGACGCGGAGGCGCAGCTTAGTCTGTTTTCCCACACCTCTTTTCACAGCTCTGTGCTTCGGTATCGTTTAACCAGTCCCCATCCCCATCCCCATCCCCTTCGAGACCCCCACCAGACTGCCACCCCAGTTGGGGATACACCCCTCGAAGCCCGAAGGGAACGACCTACATCCCCATCTAAGGGAGTAAATCGGCCAGTGGGGCCCAGGCCACGCCGCTGGGGATGGGGGTCGGTCAAGCAGTGCTCCTGGCTTGCCTGGTGCTCGTCCGTGTCACGCCGTCGCTCCCGCCGCGCTTAGCGTAGGCGCCGCCGTCGACCAAAAATCAGTCTTTGACGCTGCGCGTGTCGCCACTACTATACCACAAGGCCTTCCCACGTGCACGGGACCTTGGAGCCATGTGGACGCTTCGGAGTGGTTCAGCCTCCCGTCAGTCGCGGCGGCTCCCCTGGACCCATCTGATCCATTAGGCAGGTTTGCGACGTCACCTCGGCAGCTTAGCCCCATCAGCTTGCATACGCCGCTGGGACGGCCCTGGACCTGGCGCCCCGCCGGCGACTCGTTCATCGTTCACTTCGCCTGCGCGCCTACCAGGCATGTGGGACGCGTAGGCATCTGCGCACACGTCCTCGCGCTGTCTGAGTGGGTTATGCCTCACGGCATACACCGAATTTCCTGGCATTTTGCTAGGCTGCACGTTGCCCGAGCTTCCCTGGATGCCCTCAGCCTGTCAGCTTTCCCGCGCAGCCCCGCAGCTGCTTGGTGAGTGGGCCGGCCGGCCGGCGGCGCTCCCAGTAGCTAATTAGGCCGTTACCGTGTCCCGGGAACGCTTCTGACTCCGCCTGCGCCTTCGCTTGCGGACGCGACCGAAAAAGTGTCGCCACTTGGCCCACCCAGAAACGATTTACGGGCGAGGTGCTGTGAGCGGGTAGCCATCAGCGAAGCAAGACGAGAGCCAGCCAGTCAAACCACAGCAGGTGCCTGCCCAAGCTGCACCCGCAGTTCACAGGGGCCCTCAGGGCGACGCGCGCGCGGTCCCTTTGGTGGAAAAGGGGTCGCGGGAGGATGGGAAGACTTTACGTGAAAGGAGAAAGGGCAGATACAGGCAAAAGGGGGTGGTCGACCAGGAGGAAAGGAAGGAGGAGGCGGATGAGGTTGATGAGGAGGACGGGGCTGAGGAAAAAGAGGATGTCATTTCACGTGCCACCACTGCCCTCTCACCGCCATCCGCCTCATGTCCGCTGCCACTTGCCCAGCTGCCTCTGGCAGTTCCGCCAGCGTGCCAGCGCAGCATTCTGAGGCAGAAGCCTCGAATTCTGGGTTTGTGTTCCCGCTCTCAAGCTCTTCTTGGGGCCCTCCTGGGCATTCGTTGGGGCGCCTCTCGGGGCGTCCTGGAGCCCTTTTGGGTCGTCTGGGAGCTCTCCTGCGGGCCTCGTGATCCGCTTAGGGGGGAGTCTGGGGGTCTCTTGGGCCGTCTGGGAG